CGAGTCCGTGTCCTACTACACCCGGTACCCCTGTCGAGGTCTCCCGGTACCCCCTCCCCCTCTTTTCCTCGCACCCTCTCCTCCTCCTGCTCCCGCTCCTCCGGTACCCCCGCCCCCCCCTGGTCCTGCCCCGTCTGGTGTGTCCCACGCTACCCCTCTACCCTCGGTCGCGCGTCAGGTAGCGTCTCCCTCCCCGCAGTCCTCTTCACAGTCCCCTCAGCAGCCTTCGGCACTTCCGCGACAGGCTACTGTGGACTCGGTTGGTGTTGGAGCTGGAGGTGCAGCCGCTGGCGGTGCTCGGTCTGGGGGTGCTCGGTCGCGGGGTGCTGGGGGTGCTGGAGCTGGAGGTGCTGGCGCAGGTGGTGCTAATTCTGGGGGTGCTGGAGTTGGAGGTGCTGGCGCAGGTGGTGCTAGCTCTGGGGGTGCTGGAGCTGGAGGTGCTGGCGCAGGTGGTGCTAGTTCTGGGGGTGCTGGAGTTGGAGGTGCTAGCACTGGAGGTGCTAGTTCTGGGGGTGCTGGAGTTGGGGGTCCTGACACTGGAGGTGTTGGTTCTGGGGGTGCTGAGTCTGAGGAGACTGGAGCTGGAGACCCTGGTTCTGCGGAGTCCACTCCGCCTCCCCACCGCCACGACACGCGTCTCCAGGCTGCCCGTCGGCGTGAGCGTGAGGAGCAGGAGCGGTTGGAGCGGGAGCGGCAGGAGCTGCGGGTGCTGGACCTTCTGGAGCAGCAGCGGCAGCAGCAGCAGCGGCAGCAGCAGCAGCAGCCGCAGCCGCCGCCGCAGCCGCAGCCGCCGCCGCAGTCGCAGCTGCAGCAGCCGCAGCCGCCACCGCAGTTTCCCCTGGAGCGGCAGTTGTTCCCACCTGTGAGTGGCCTGCGGGCCCTTGGCTTTTCCTCCTCTCCTCCTGTCCGCTCCCAGTCTCCTCCTGTGTTTGTTCCTCCGTTGCCTCCTCCTGGCGACCGTCCGGCGGTCTGGTCTTCTCCTCCTCCTCAGTCTCCTCCTCCTTCGGTCCGTCACGACTTGATCACTCGTTGTCCTCCGCGTGCTCGTGACTCGTCCCCTGTTACTGACCTCCACACTGCCCTCCTTTGTACGTCTCGTCGTCGTTCTCCTTCTCCTGTGTCCGTTCTCCCCTCTCCTCCTCCGTCCTCTCTCCCAGCCCTCCCCACTCCTATCACTGACTACTACCGCACTGTTCGTCCTGTTGCCGCACGTGTCCTCGCCACTCTTGTCACCGACTCTCGTTTCCCTCCGTCGTCGGTCTCTGCTCTTACTGCCGCTGTCGCTGAGTTTGCTGCCGCCAGCCGCCTTGACTACGCCACCCGTGTGGTGCCAGCTCCTCCCTACCGTCCTCTGTCCGTCGGGGGTGAGTTTGCCCTTAGCTGTGACGTCCTAGAGGACAGAGAGTCTGAGCTGGAGTACTGGGCAGCCGCTTCTCCCTCTGTGTGTGCCATGCTGCTCTCCCCTGAGGGAGACCCCGACGCCCTTGACATACCGACTCCTCGCACTTACCGCGAGGCAGTGTCAGGGGCGTGGGCCTCTCAGTGGAAAGTGGCTATGGACTCAGAGTTGGCGTCTTGGAGATCCACAGGCACCTACGTCGACGCAGTTCCCCCTCCCAGGGCGAACGTAGTCGATGGCATGTGGCTCTTCAAGGTGAAGCGGCCGCCTGGAGCACCGCCGGTGTTCAAGGCGCGCTACGTGGCTAGGGGCTTCAGTCAGCGTGAGGGAGTTGACTTCTTCCAGACCTTCGCCCCGACCCCGAAGATGACTTCTCTTCGGGTGTTACTCCACATAGCAGCGCAGCGAGACTACGAGCTGCACTCCCTTGACTTCTCTACTGCGTTTCTCCAGGGCCGACTACACGAGGAGATCTGGCTGCGCCGCCCTCCTGGCTTCACTGACACCTTCCCACCTGGGACCCAGTGGAGCCTGAGACGGCCAGTCTACGGTCTCCGCCAGTCGCCCCGTGAGTGGCACGACACTCTTCGCTCCACGCTTCGTGACCTTGGGTTCAGCCCGTCCTCCGCCGACCCGTCGCTGTTTGTTCGAGCGGGTTCTACTCCTTTCTTTATCCTTGTCTACGTCGACGACTTGGTGTTTGCTACAGCAGACAGGGCAGCCCTGGCTCAGGTGAAGTCCGAACTGCAGAAGAGACACAAGTGCACTGACCTGGGTGAGCTGCAGCGTTATCTTGGCTTGCAGATCACCCGGGACAGAGCCGCTCGCACCATCACACTGACGCAGTCACACATGGTGCAGCAGGTCCTTCGGCGGTTCGACTTCCAGTTCTCCACCACTCAGCCCACTCCTCTTGCTGTTGACCACAGACTCACGGGCCCCTTTCCTGACGAGCCCTTTGAGTCCAGTGGACCCTACGCAGAGCTGGTGGGCTGCCTCATGTACCTGATGACTTGTACTCGGCCGGACCTCGCCTTTCCCCTCAGCATCCTTTCTCGCTTTGTTGCGACTGGGAGACACCGTCCTGTCCACTGGACAGCTGCTGAGAGGGTGGCGAAGTACTTGGCGACTACATCAGGCATGGGGCTTGTGCTTGGAGGGACGCAGCCAGTGGCGTTGACTGGTCACTGCGACTCTTCCTACGCTGACGACGTGGAGACTCAGCGCTCGACTCAGGGTTACTGCTTCAGTCTGGGAGCTGGTGCTGTGTCGTGGAGGTCTACACGGTCGTCGTCTGTGGCTACTTCCAGTGCAGAGGCAGAGATCTACGCTGGTGCCATGGCGGCACAGGAGCTTCGCTGGTTGACCTTCTTGCTCGCCGACCTTGGTGAGCGGCCTCGCTCTGCACCGACCTTGTACGCTGACAACAAGGCCATGATCCTCCTGTGTCGAGAGCCTCGACTGGAGAGCAGAGTGAAGCATATTGACGTGAGGTACTTCCTCTTGCGAGAGCTGCAGCGACGCGGCCAGGCACGCCTGGACTTTGTGGCCTCAGAGGCCAACACTGCAGACGTCTTCACCAAGGCCTTGGCGCTTGGTGACCACCACAGGTTCTGTGTGCAGTTGGGGCTTGTTGAGGTAGGCCCTAGGTTGCTGTAGTCCTGTTGCTTCATCTGCTTGTTGTGCTTTGTATTTATATCCTAGTGAACTCTTGAACTGACCTTGTGGCCGCTTGCTTGCGCTCGGAATTTGTGTGGTGTCCTTGAGATCCACCCTGAGCTTGTCTTGCCTTGACTGGTCTTGTGACCGTTTGTTTCACCTTGCTTGCCCTGGTGTCCCTCACTTAGCCTATGGGGGTGTGTCAAATGTTAATGTTATGATAGGCTGCAGTGAGGCACCTCCTAGAGGGTACAACATTTGTAGGACTCCTATTTGTATGCTTGCAAACCCTAATCCCAAGCATTCCGTTGCATTCCTATTCTGAGATTAGCTTACGACGCAACAGGCGATTAGCTTACGACGCAACAGGCGATTAGAATGCGACGCAACAGGCGATTAGAATGCGACGCAACAGGCGATTAGAATATTATAATTTTTTAACACATATTGTGCTTTTAAAATTGTGTATTGTGAAAGCGAAGCTGCTTGTACTGCACATTTGGCATCGTCGAAGCGCGCTAAACGCCCTTCTCCAACTACAAAAACCGTGGGTTGGAGCACATTTCCCTCCACCCACGTTTCTCTATTTCCAACGGCTCACTCAACTTTCCCACCACCCACCCCAGCATCGACTGCCTACTACGGCCGTCTGGACACAGTACATCTTAGCTAGTATTCTCTGCATGTACTAGCTTGTGTTAGAACTCGATGGATATGTTGTAATATGCCATTTGCAATGAGAACGATGCCAAATGATAAAAACAAGAAAGCAAACTTTCTCAATGCGACGCAACAGGTGATTAGCATGCGACGCAACGACTGAACTACTTGCCGTTGCCGCGACTCATTCCTAGCCATTTGTCCCAACGGAAAATTAGCTAGTGGAACACATCGTAGCAGTGCTGCTAGAATGGGGAAGGAGCAAAACTTGTGGGGAATGGCATCAGGTTTGGCAAGCAAACTCACTGTTCAATGCTTGCACATTCGTTTTAGCTGCCATTCAGCATTATCACCTTTTCCCCAAATGCATTTCTGCTTCTTTTGCTGTTGAATCCCATTTCAGCTTTTATTTGTACCCCCGTTGGGGGAGGGGTGCGCCTTCCTCGGAGTTAGTGCAATACCGAGGCGACGCACGCAGGGCCGACCAGCAAGCTGTCCATTGGCACCTGCCCCCGAAAGAAATTAATTTAATATCATGTGGACCGATGGTCCAGGTATCAGATATTAAACTGATAAGAACAGATACTACACTTGATCTTAGCCAAAAGGCCGAGAAAGGTATGACTTCCAATCGAATCTTCGCCAATTTTATTTCTCCGAAACACAAATCAACTTCGGGCCTTGTGGGTCTTCCCTCCCAAACCTTTACCGTATGGTGCTGCTGACACAGCCACGTGTTGGACCAAATTTTTGTGCTTGCTGTTCTGTAGGCGTTATTTAGTGAAAATCGAGCACCGCGGAATCTTCTGGGATAAGCAGAAATTTTATTATCAAGGTTCGGGATATGCCGTCTCTTTCCGAGCCTGTCCGAATAACATTAAACGCGAGTGCCAAAAGAGCACCCCTTGTTGGTCCGCACAACGATAACCTTACGAGGCTTCCTGTAGGCTTCCTCACCAGGCAAATGTCCGCACAAATTTAACCCAGCCAAATCAACCTCGGGAGCTAGCATCAGCCTCCGCACAAGTTATGCGGGGCAGCAACATCCGCGCAACGCAACCAGCATGAATGCGCCTAGAAAATACACGGAAGGCTATCGCGGTCAAATTGGTGCGGAACCCTAAACGCCTGCAGAACAACGCCTCAGTTTCTTCCAACTGAAGCCAACACTTCTTTCCCTGCTGTGCCTTCATGTCCTCGCCGCAACTTCTCCTATTCCATGCGGCGCATCGATGCGTTACATCGCGCACGTAACTAACTCGCAGTAACCTAGTCTTGCGCAATGTTTCCTGTGAAGCGCTGGGACGGTCTTCACGAGGCGCTCCCCTCGTCGTACCTCCACGCCTCCACTCCGCCGCTCAAGCCTCCGCCCACCTTTCCGCTCACTCCCGCTTCCGCCCCGCCGTTTCCCGCGCATAGAAAACTTGAGAACCTTTTCGGCGGCGAGAAGGCGGATCGATTAGCGGAGAGCATTGATCAGAGCAAAGTTGGGGGAAAGACTACCGGAGGATCGAATGTCGTTGGCGGAGGCGTCGAAAGAGCTAAGAACGAGAATGTTGCGGCGGAAAGTGCGGGAGGAAGCGTTAGTGAAACGAAGAAGAAGAAGAGGAATAAGGGAAAGCGGGAGGTAGAGGAAAGGGGCGCGGAAGGTGCGAGTGCTCCGAATGCGACGGTAAAAGACTCGCACGACGTCGCACGTGACGTGGCGGGAGAGCAAGCAGGGAATGCGCTAGGTGGCGAGGGCGGGGGTTTGGTGTTCGTACTAGATGCAGCACAAGGGTTTAGAGATGGCAGTGGGGAGCTGGCACAGGGAGCTAAAGTGGGTAGGGGGAAGGAAAAGAAGAGGAAACGGAGGCGGGAGGATGTTGGGAGTGCGAGCTGTGCTGCGGTTCAAAGCGGTGGGGAGGGGGAAGGTGAAGCAGGGGGCGGAGGAGGGTTTGAGCGAGGTTCAGGGTTTGGGGGTGTAGCGCATGCGGAGCAGGATGACTCGGAACAGAAAGCGGGTTTAGGGGATGGCGAGGGAAAGGAGAAAAGGAAAAAGGAACGGAAGGGGAAGGGGGCTGGGCGAGGGAAGCGGGATGGAGCCATGGATGGTGGGGAAGACACGTTAATGGTGGAAGCAAACGAGGCAGCGGAGGGAGACGGAGCGAGGGAGAGGGGCGAAGAGGGGAACGAAGCAGGGGGCGATGGTGATGATGGGGTTGCGGGTGCAGAGGCGCCGCTTCAGGCACCTTCTAAGCCGCCAGCAGCAGCAAAAGAAGGAGGGGGAGGCGGAGGGGCAGTGGGAGGGGGAGGGGGAGGCGCGGTGCTGCCGTGGATGCGGGCGCCAGTGAAGTGCTCCACAGCTGATGCCGTTCCTCTAGCCTCGGTGCCGAACCTAGACAAGCGGTACGGGAGTCAGCTGTGAGGGTGGGGTTGGGAATTCGCCTGGTCGTCCTCCTTGCCATCTGCTGCTGCCGTCTCTCCCTCACTGCAACACTCGACCCCTGCTGCTTCCCCTCCCCTCTTCGCATTCTTTCCTCTCTCTCTCATTCCCCTCATCACAATCTCCGTTCGTCCTTCCCCCGCATCCCCTCTTGCACGCCCTTCCGCCCCGCCGCTCTGCCCCATCCCCCCCTGCCAGCCTCCTGCGCGCCCTCGCCCTGGCCGGCATTTCTTATCTCTTTCCCGTGCAGGCCACGGTGTGGCGCGAACTACTGGGGTTACCTGGTAACCACCCCCACGCCCATGGAAAAACAACACCCGGGAAGGGGAAGGATGGGGGAACGGGGAGAGCAGGCGCTGGTGATGGGGGGAAGGGGGGGCGGAGAGGGGGAGTCGCGCAGGCGGAGTGGGAGGGCGGAGAAGAGCGGGAGGCGGCGGGGCTGCGGGCGGCATCGCACGACTTATGTGTGTGTGCGCCAACGGGGAGCGGCAAGACGCTAGCGTACGCGCTGCCAGTGGTGCAGGCACTGGCAGGGCGTGTGGTGCGGCGAGTGCGGGCAGTGGTGGTACTACCAACGAGAGACCTGGCTGCTCAGGTGGGCGTTATGGTGCTGCTGTGCTGTGCTGCGGTGTTCTGTTCTGCTGTGCTGTTGCGCACATACACGCACACACAACCTGCAGCCTTGCACGCGCACTCCCTTGCTCGCAGACAAACCAACGCCCAGTTGCGCTCCCTTTACCAACTCACACCTACCTCGACCCCTCCCCTTCATCACATCTTCAGCCGAAATCCAACCAGGAGCCTTACTCTCCCACCATCGCCCCCTTAACTTTGTTTGTCTTCTTACCCAACATATGCTCTCTCGCTCTCCCTCCTCGCTTCCCACCACGCCATTCTTTCTGCCCCTGCACTGCAGGTGAAGCACGTGTTTGACACCATAGCACCAGCTGTCGGCCTCTCAGTGGCTCTCATCAACGGCCAATCATCGCTCGCTGACGAGGCAACCCACCTCGTGCCTCACCCCGCCGCCTGTCCCGGGCCCCTGGGCCTCCTCACCCGCTCCAGTTACAGCATCAGTGGCAGCGGGTGTCACGGTGGGAGCGGCTACAGCAGTGAGGGGGACGGCTGTAGCGGGGCGGACATTGTGGTGGCGACACCGGGGCGGCTGGTGGACCATCGGAGGGGCACTCAGGGCTTCTCCCTCTCGCACCTGCAGTTCCTCGTGAGTCCGCTACAGTCGCTAGCACTGAGGGTTACAGAGGGGCACTTAGGGCTTCTCTCCTCGCGCATCTGCAACCGCTGCAGTCACAGTGGCTGTAGCATGGCAAGCATTGTGGTTGCTACCCCTCGTAAACCTCTCTCCACCTCTCTGCTCCCCCTGTGCAGTGACTTCACCTTCTCTCTGCGCTTCTTTGTCCTCTGGCCCCCCTGTTCCCCCTTCGTCCCTGCATGGCCTGGCGCCATCAGGTGGTGGACGAGGCGGACCGGCTGCTGCGCCAGTCCTACCACCACTGCCTGCCGCTCACCCTCACCCTTGCCGCTGCTGCTGCCGCCCCTTGCTGTTCTCCGCTGTGCCTCCTGCCCCTCCCCACCTTCCCGCGCGCCCCACCAGGTGGTGGACGAGGCGGACCGGCTGCTGCGCCAGTCGTACCACCACTGCCTGCTGCTCGCCCTGTGCACACTGTGCCGCCTCTGTCCTCTCTGCCTACCCATGCCTCCCTCCCTGTACCCCCTGCATGCACGCCCTCGTGCACTCATCAGGTGGTGGACGAGGCGGATCGGCTGCTGCGCCAGTCCTACCACGACTGGCTGCCGCTCACCCTCGCCGCCCCTTCCGCTGCCACGTCAGCTGTCGCCGGCACGCATGCTGACGTGGCAGTGAGCACGCCGGGTTTGAGCGTCGCCATGCATGCACTAAGCGGCGCTCTCCCCACTCCGTTCATCCACGGTCTGCGATCCCTGTGAGCCATTAACACTCACCTGATGCTGCTATGTGCCACTGCCTTGTGCTGGTGTGTGCATCTGACGAGCATGGTTCCTCTCGCCCTCTCATGCTCCCCCCACTCCGTTCATTCATGGCCTGTCATCCCTGTGAGTCGTAACTGTTGCTGCTTTGTGCTCCCACAACCCACTCTGCTCCTCTCTTGCTCTCAACCTTGCTTGTCTTGTACCACGCGCAACCGTGGTCCTGCGTCTGTTCTCTCCATGGTTCCCTGTTCCCCCTCCCTGCTCTCTGTGCCTGAATTGAACGCCATTGAGTTATCGAGCTAGTGTGCTGTCTCATCCTCACCTCTCGACCTTCGCCTCCGGTGCCGCTTTTTTCCTTCCATGCTTGCTGCATTGCATCACCCCGTGTGCCCCCTCGCTCCTCTCTGTGCCTGGCATTGAGCGCCATCGGGTCATCCAGCTCGTGTTATCCCCCGTGCTCACTTGCGGTCCTTCGCCTCCTGTGTCTCCTCTCTTCCTCATTCAACCCGTATGCCATTGCAGCGTCCCCTGTGCCCCCTCGCTCCTCTCTGTACCTGACATTGAACGGCATCGAGTGATCAAGCTAGTGTGCTCTGCCACTCTCACCCGCGACCCCTCCAAGATCCAACGGCTCAGATTGCACCGCCCTCTCTTCATCTCCTCTGCCGCCCACCTGCTCGCCTCCGCCATGCTCCGCCACGTGGCAGCGGGTGGCACGCGCCACGCTGGCACCACTGCTGACGTGGAGGGTGGTGATGTGGGTGTAGAAGAGGAAGGGATGGAGGAGGGAAGGGAGGAGGAGGCAGAGGAGGCGGAGGAGGAAGGGGTGAGGCACTACCACCTGCCTCCACAGTTGGTCACTTCCATGCTGGTGAGTGGGGTGGGGTGTATGTGAATCAGGTGTGAGTAGGTTCTGAGTGGTGTGTGGGTGGCGTGTGAGTATGGTGCGAGTATGGGGGGATAGGTGTGATAGGGGTGAATCGAGTATGCATGATGGTCAGAATTGCGGTGGTGCAAGTGTTCCAGCAGCACTGACACACACACCTGCTGCTGCTTCTCCACTACCCACTAACGTCTACTTCCTCCCTTCCCCTCCTCTCCCCTCCTCTCCCCTCCTCCCTAGTCTCCGTCTCCTCACTTCTTCTCCCCTCCACCACACACCGTCGGCGTTTCCATCCACACCCTCTCCTTCCTGCCACTGTCTCACTTCTCCACCAGGCACATAGTTCTCTCCCCCACCTCCCCTTCCCTCTCCCCCTCCCCTTCCCTTTCTCCCTCCCCCCCTCCTTCTCCCCCTCCCCAGGTGTGTCCGCGGGCGAGCGACAAGCCGCTGCTGCTGGCGGCGCTGCTCAAGCACCTCACTGCAGGGGCTGGGGCTGGGGCAGGGGAAGGGGCAGGAGAGGGGGTGCAGGAGGGGAGGAGAGACGCTTCTGCCGGCGCTACCGCTGGTGCCAACATTGCGGCTGCTGGTGCTGCTGCTGCGCGCCCCATGCAGCTGACTCTGGTGTTTGCATCGTCACTGCAGGCAGCCCACCGCCTCTTCCTGCTGCTCTCCGCCTTCCCCCCCGCCTCGCTGCCCTTCGTGTTTGCTGAGTTCTCCTCCCGCCAGCCGCAGCGCCAGCGCAGGTGAGGAGGGGGGGGAGAGGTGGTCGCACTGACGTTGCTGTCCCTCCGTCTGCGTTGTCCCTGACGTTGCATGCCTCCCTTTGCTTGCATGCCTCCCTTTGCTTGCATGCCTCCCTTTGATTGCATGCCTCCCTTCGCTTGCATGCCATGCCATGCCATCCCATCCATCCATCCCTCCTCAACCCTTCAAACCATGTTGGCATGGGCAGTACCATTCTCGATCTGTAGGTTCGAGGTGCTGTTGCCTTGCCTCTGTCAATTTTTATGACCCCGCGTGCCAAACCCCTGCCATCCTTTCCCTCCCCTTCCGCCGCCTCCCACCACCACAACCACGAACCTCGCATGAGCAGTGCGATACTGGATCGCTTCCGAAAGGGCGAGGTGCAGGTGCTGGTGGCCAGTGACGCCATGACACGTGGCATGGACGTGGAGGGCGTGTTCAATGTTGTCAGCTACGATGCGCCCGTCTACCCGAAAACTTTTGTTCATCGGGCAGGCCGAACTGCCCGAGCGGGCAGGCCAGGGCATTGCTACACGATTCTGAGGAAGCAGGAGGTACGCTGGATCTTTTTTTCTGTGGTGAAAGAATGTGGCTGTAATGAGATGTGACTCCATGCCACATATCACCCATATACCCCACACCACATCAACCCCTGCACCCATCCCGACGTGTTGGATGCTGCACTTCAAGGCGGTGCTGGGGAAGGTGGGCTGTGCAAACTGTCACGAGATGAACCTTGTGACCCATGTGCCCCATACTCTCCATGTCATCCCCCTGCACCCATCCCACCCCCCCCCTTCCCAGGTACGCAATTTTAAGGTGGTGCTGGGGAGGTGGGCTGTGCTGATTGTGGTGAATCTGACAGTTTCGTTATGACCCATGCTCCCCATCCCACCACTCCGCTTTCGCGTTACCCCTCTCCCCCCACCAGGTGCGGCACTTCAAGGCGGTGTTGGGGAAGGTGGGCTGCACAGACTGCCCGCAGGGCAAGGCGCCCTCCCCCCTCATGGAGGGGCTACGGGAGCACTACGATGCGGATGAGTGCTGTGCGGTGCTGGTGGGTGCCGTGCGGTGCGGGTGGTGGTGGTGCACGGAGCTGGTGAGCGGCTGTGTTGTGGCCACCCAATTTCTTGTTGCATGTGTGCATGGAGGAATGCACCTCTCACACCTCTCCTCCCCTCGCCACCCCCCACCCCCTCCGTTCTCGCATCTCGCACCCCTCCCTCCCCCCACACCTCTCCTTCCTCTCACGCCTTCCCCATCCCCACCTCGGCCACAACACTGGAGCAGCTCAAGGCAGCAGTGATGGGTGCTGGATGGCGGTGATGGGTGCTGGATGGTGGTGATGGGTGGTGGATGGTGGTGGATGGTGGTGATGGGTGGTGGATGGTGGTGATGGGTGCTGGATGGTGGTGATGGGTGGTGGATGGTGGTGATGGGTGGTGGATGGTGGTGATGGGTGGTGGATGGTGGTGATGGGTGGTGGATGGTGGTGATGGGTGGTTGATGGTGGTGATGGGTGGTGGATGGTTGTGATGGTTGGTGTGGAGGGGTGTTGCCATTGTGGGGTGGACAGCAGCTCCATTGCTCCGTGCTCATCCCTCCCCTTGCATCCTCCCTCCGCACGCCTTCTTCCCTCTCTCCACCCCACCCTCCCACACCTCCTCGCCTGCAGCATTGGAGCGCCTCAAGGCTGTGGTGGGGGAGGAGGAGCGCAGAGGCAAGTGAGTGACCAAGTTAATGCTCCAGTCGCCTGGACGACTGTAACAGTTTATCTTAGTGCCGTATATCTTTCTGTCTCATACGGGTCCTACATCTTGTATCAGTGGCTTGTCACGCATTTAAGATAGCATGCATAGATTGAATAGCAAACTATATATAAATGAGTGACCCGTAGCTAGAGTAGAAGCGAGTCCCACTGAAAAGGGACAGGACAAAAGGGCACGGCGAGGGAACCAGGCGGGACGTGTCAGGAGGCCTGGAAGGAGGGAAACCAAAGTGAGGTTCGGTTAGGAAACCAAGAGATCAGCAAGCAGGCGGGAATCAAAAGTGACCCAGCCGTTGAGAGCAACGGTTGTAAAAGTGATACTTAGGCAGAAAGGATTGCTAGGTCCCACAGCTTGTTTGTTTGTTTTTACCTTATGCTGGGAACTTGTCATTTCGAAAGCATCAACTGTGTGACACCTAGCTAGTGAAGCCACTCTCAGAAACTAGGCATGAATGAGTTGACTATCGAGAGGATGGTACAAGGAGGAAACCCTAAGGGGTTATACCCCACCTTATCTACCCTACTACAGCCTACCCACAAATATAACATATGCATATGTTTGACACACCCCCATAGGCAAAGTGGGGGAGAGCAAGAGGTCACAAGACCAGTCAAGAAAAGCAAAGCAAGCTCAGGGTGGATCACAACGTCACCACACACACTGAGCACAAGCAAAAGACCACAAGGCCAGTTCACATGCAGAGGTATATATGCAACAAGAACAGTACAGTGATCTCTACCTAGCAAGAGCAAGCATGCAGGTATATATATATAGATCACAGTACAAGCAGAGTCTACAGCAAGTGCGAAAACGTAAGCACAAGGCCCAACAAGGTACAAAAGCGCTGATGATCACCAGACGGAAGTGCCTTGGTGAATATATCAGCAGTGTTGGCCCGAGTGGCCACGTGAGCAAGACGAAGCTGACCCCGCTGCTGCAACTCTCGAGCCAGGAAATAACGCAGAGCGATGTGCTTCGTTCTGTGCTCCAGTCTGTGCTCCTGACACAAGGCAATGGCTGCCTTGTTGTCGACGTACAGAACTGGAGGAGAACGAGGCCTCTCTCCCAAGTCGGTCAGCAGGTAGGTGATCCAGCGTAACTCCTGTGCAGCCATGGCTGTGGTGTAGATCTCAGCCTCACAACTGGAGCCGAGAACAGAAGACGAGCGCGTAGACCGCCAAGAAACAGAGCCAGAGCCAAGACTGAAGGTGTAACCCTGTGACGACCGCTGCGTAGCCTGGTCGTCAACCCAAGAAGCGTCCGAGTGACCAGTGAGGACAACGTCGCCCCGTCCTCCAAGCACGAGCCCCATGCCCGATGTACTGCACAAGTAGCGCAGTACCCTCTTAGCAGCATCTATGTGCACCTTTCGGTGCCGACCAGGAGCCACGTAGCGAGCCAGAAGGCCAAGAGGGTACGCGAGGTCAGGACGAGTGCAGGTCATCAGGTACATGAGGCAGCCAACTAGCTATGGGTAAGGACCACTCGGCTCTACGGACCGAAGGTGGAGCTGAGAGCGAGTGACCTGTAGCCAGAGGAGTGGCCTGTGCCGAGGACCAGGTGAAGCCGAAGCGCTGAAGGACCTGCTGCACCATGTGTGACTGAGTCAGAGTGATGGTGCTGCGTGCTCTGTCCCGGGTGATCTGCAAGCCAAGGTAACTGCGCAGCTCACCCAGGTCTGTGCACGTGTGTCTCTTCTGCAGCTCCGACTTCACCAGGGCGAGAGCCTCAGTGTCAGCAGTGGCAAAGACCAAGTCGTCGACGTACACGAGGATGTAGAATGGCGGCAGCGAAGTGTCGGTGCGCAGAAACAGCGACGGGTCAGCAGTCGAAGGAGAAAACCCAAGAGCCGCAAGTGTCGTCCTCAGTGTGTCGTGCCACTCACGTGGCGCCTGGCGGAGACCGTAGACCGGCCGCCGGAGGCTCCACTGGGTACCAGGAGGGAACGACCCAGTGAAGCCAGGTGGGCGGCGCAGCCAGAACTCCTCGTGCAGGCTGCCCTGTAAGAAAGCTGTGCTGAAGTCAAGCGAGTGAAGCTCGTAGTCACGCTGAGCGGCAACGTGCAGCAGCACCCGAAGAGTGGTCATCTTCGGGGTGGGGGAGAAAGACTGGAAGAAGTCAACTCCCTCCCGCTGACTGAAGCCTCGAGCAACGTAACGAGCCTTGAAGACAGGCGGAGAACCTGGCGGCCGCTTCACCCTGAAAATCCACATGCCATCGACGATGTTCGCCCCGGGAGGGGGAACCTCATCGACGTTGGTGAGACAGGAGGCGACACGAGCAGGGGGCAGACTCAGGACCAGACCGGGAAGCTGCAGCAAACACCTGACCCGACGCAGCTACCTGACCAGACTGAGCAACCGGAGGAGACACGGTAGTCAGGGTGTACAGGCTCGACCCAGGCTGACGGGTGAACGTGGCCAGGTGCCGGCCCGTCCGAGCACACGAACAGTGGGTCACCCGCTGACCTCCAGGAGTGAACTGGTCAACCCACGCGTCCTGAAGGTCAGCTCCACTCACCAAGTTCGTGGAGAACGAGGGGAGGTGGAGGCCAGACAGTGAGCCAGACGGGACCGCCGGACACGGCAGAACCGTGGAGGAGTGGGCAAGGACCGGACCCCCAGAGGGTTCAGCCAAAGAGACTGCCACCGGCCGACTGAGCGGCGAGAGTGTGGTGCAGTCGCGAAAGAAGGAGCGAGAAGCACCTGAGTCAAGGGTGAAAGTGTGCAAGACCTGAGCCGACACGGTACCTGAGAGAGCAGTCTCACCAGCACCTGGAGCAGCAGACTCACTAGCACCTAGAGCAGCAGCCACACCAGCACCTCGAGCAGGAGACGCACTAGCACCGAGAGCAGCAGCCTCACCAGCACCTAGAGCAGCAGACTCTATACCTGGTTCAGGCGGTACGCACAGGTAACAGGCACCCTCAGTACTAGTAGGCAGTGCATATATGGCAGTGAGGATAGCATCATAGTCAAGAGCAAAGATATCGACCCTCTGCCTAAGCAGCTCCAGCCAGGTGGGGAGCTCAGCCTCGTCGCCAAACTCGGTACGCCAGGCGTCGCTCAGACGGGCGAAGCAGCGGGACTGTGTGTGACCAACCGTCCCGCAAGCCTGACCAGCCCGATCACCTGTGCGAATGACGAGCAGCGAACGGTACTCCGAGACCCTCTACTCTGAGCGTACCACTCACGAAGCTGCTGGGGCGTAAGTGTCTCGCGCGGACGCCACTGCAGCTGCATCTGGCCACAGCCAGACGCTCCCGACTGACCAGCTCCAGGGCGACAGCCACGACGGCCACCGCCACAACCCCAACTAGCGTACCACTCACGAAGCTGCTGGGGCGTGAGAGACTCGCGCGGACGCCTCTGTAGCTGCATCTGGCCACTGCTAGACGCTCCCGACAGACCAGCTCCAGGGCGACAGCCACGACGGCCACCGCCACAACCCCAACTAGCGTACCACTCACGAAGATGCTGGGGCGTGAGAGACTCACGCGGACGTCGCTGGAGCTGCATCTGGCCACCGCCAGTAGCAGCAGGAGCACTAGCAGCACCAGTAGCAGCACGAATAGCAGTAGTAGCAGTAGCAGCAGTAGCAGCGCGGGCAGGGCAGTGCGGCTCGGTGCGGCTGAGCGGCGCGGCTCAGCTGGGCGGCGCGGCTCGGCTGGCAGGCAGGTGCGGCAGGCAGGCAGGCAGGCTGGCGCGGCAGCGCGGGGCCAGAAGGGCACTGTCAGGAAAAGGCGGCGCGCGGCCAGAAGGGCAGTAGCAGGCAGCAGCAAGCAGTAGCTCCTAGGGCAGCAGCACCTAGGGCTCTTTTTTTTTTTCTCTCTCTCTCTCTCTCTCTCTTTTTTAGGGTTTGGCAGGGCGCACTCGGCGCTGCAGGGGTGGCTCGCGGGCTGCAGGGGTGGCTCGCGGGCTGCAGGGGCAGTGCGCTGGCTGCAAGAGGCAGGCGCGCTGGCTGCAGGGGCGGTTCGCGGGCTGCAGGGGAGGCTCGCGGGCTGCAAACGGGCGGCGCGCGGGCTGCAAGGGTCTGCGCGCGGGCGGCTTGCACGGGGCGGCGCGACGCGGGGCGGGCAGTGGCGGCGCGCAGGCAGGCAGGGCGGACGGGCGTCGCGGCGGGCTGGGGCAGCCCGCTCTGGCGACGCGACGGGCACGGGCAGGGCCGACGGGCGACGCGACGGGCTGCAGGGGCGCGCGACGCGACGGGCTGCAGGGGCGCGCGACGGGACGGGCTGCAGGGGCGCACGGCGCGGCGGGCAGCAGGGGCGCGCGACGCGACGGGCAGCAGGAGCGCTTACCAGGGGCGGGTGCAGGGCAGGGCCGCGATGGGCGATTAGGGGAGGGCCAAACAGGGCGGTCGTAGGGCAGGGCCGCGACGAGGCGGCGGCAGAGCAGGGCCGCGATGGGGCAGCAGCAGGGCAGGGCCGCGACGGGCGGCGAGGTAGGGCAGGCGCTCGACGGGCGGCAGGCAGGGCAGGCGCTCGACGGCGTGTAGGGCAGGCGCGCGACGTCGGCCGCAGCAAGGGCAGGCGCTCGATGGCGCGGGTAGGGCAGGCGCTCGACGGCGCACAGCAGGGCAGGCGCAAGGGCGCAGGTGAGGCAGGCGCGAGGCGCGCGACAGGGCAGGGAAGCTCGGCAGCGCGCTTCGGGCAGGGCAGGAAAAAATCGTGGTGGGCCCTTAAAAAAAACGTTCCCACTAGGGAACCTGCTCTGAAACCATGTGAAAGATAGAACGAGGAATGACTAGAAAGAGGACAGTACAAGGTTTGTATAGGCAAAACCTAGCAATACTGTACCTCATAAGGAGTGCCCCACTACAGCCTACAATACAGTTCTGACACTTCGCGCCCAACCGAATCTCAATCCGCGACAGATCCGATGGTTGGACTACCTGGAGTCCAACTTCCACTACACCGTCACGTACAAAAAAGGCGCATCAAACATCGCCGAAGCACTC